GATATAAGGAAAAGAACTCATCAACCGAGGTCACAATATCAATCAATCCAGCAGAGCAATAGCCTATAGGCAAAACACAGAAGATCAACAAAAGATATGACTTAAAATAACTTACCAAAGCTGAAGTAGATGGTCAACTTCATTCATTTTCTGTCCGTTTTACTGATTTTAATCGCTATACGCTGCTCTCTCTCTCTCCTCTTTACAACTACTATTTTCGCGGCACACATACTTACAGCCAATCAGCTCTCTGAATTATGAGATGATGTTTGGTAGGTATGTCAGCACAGTGCCCCTATGTTGATTATTCTTTTGCCGCACACATTGAATAGAAAAATACTCTTGAGCATGCGCAGTGTAGTTTTTACAGCACCCATTCATTTTGACAGCAGAGAGAGGGGCTAGATCGGGGCTTGCCCCACATCGCTCAACACGGCTCAATAGGCACACTGTGGACACTAATTGGAAGAACGCAGACTAAAACAGCAATGTACAGACGAATCAGATGACTAAACATGAATCTTAAAATATATTTTAACATATATTGTTTTTTGCATATTTTTTGAATTATTTGCATTACTTTCTGCTGACACTAGGTGGTGCTTAATTCGATTGTTGTTTTTTATTTGTGTGTTCCCAGGGCCACTATTAGAAGCCGCCACAAAGTCCAGGTGGTGAAGAAGAGCAGAAGAAAGAGACTCTCAGGACATTCTTCCCTGAAACCTGGATCTGGGACCTAGTTTCTGTGGGGTAATAATAACAACATATATGAATAGGAAGATTCAGATTTGTGACTTTCAAACGTGCGTGTGAGCAAACACATTACGTTTAACAATATAGGCATTATATCATTAACAAGTTATTTTTCAGTTAGAAAGATTAATTGTTTATTTATGTTGAATGGAAATCAATGTTCATGATTAACCATCACATTTTCTGTCTAAATAGTGGAAAAAAACAGTCCATGACCCCCATATATTAAATAAAAAATGATGTTGAACTGTAAACAAACGGCAAATCGTTACACTTTAGAATCTGCCAAGAATTAATATTACACCTGGTTATAAATCCCAAGTATGTTTCCATACAGAGTTGGGTGTAAACGCGTTACAAAGTAACTGCGCGACTTGCACGTCCACATCTCCGCGTGCAGTGCTCCATAAACATGGCTGAGTCAGCGATAACTTTCGAGGGGTGGAGGTATGCCCATTATTTTGAGTTCGTCCGAAGAATAGACAGGAATGTAACGGTGAGGTGCAAACTGTGTCCAGGCCAGAAGCGTTATCCACTGCTGTAAACACCACGTCAAACCTGAACAAACACCTGCAAAGAACACATGCTAAGGTGAAGCTAATAGCTAAGGACCCCCGAACCCAGAGTGAGGATGTTGTGAGTGCGCCGCCGCCGATTCCGAAGGCAGCACAAATTAGAATTTGGAGGACCGGTAACCAAAGCAGAGATGGACAGGCTTGTAGCATCCTTCATAGTAGAGGTAATGTTGCCCATTTGCACAGTGGAATCACCAATCGCATCGTTCAGAGATATACTGCGCAAAATACAGATAGCAGGAGACAGAGGACAGCCATGGTCAGAGCTATCTGGATCAGTCTTATGCGACAATGGAAACTGAACTAAAGAGAACATTTGAAACTTAGCAGTCTGCGTGATCTGCCTGTAGGGAGTGGCTGGCCGGCCCTGCGAGTAAAGTAACGAGTTACTTTATGTAGAGAGTAACGAAGTAGTGTAATATATTACTTTTTTTTAAAAGTAATATGTAATATATTACTTTTTTTTTAGTAACGACCCCATCTCTGTTTCCATACAATTTAATAAAGAATGGACAAAGTTGTACAATTTGAAAATGCTTCAAAACTGTCCATACTGGCAATGTTACAAATTTGCAACAGTTGCAAAATTGCTTCAATGGAAAGTTGGAATATAAGTGTCACCTAATTTATATGAAATATGGTACAACATGATCCTCTATTTTCTTTTTTAGTTCCTTTTAAACAAAATGCCTGAATTTGAGTTCCCCTAGTTTAAAAGTGTTGCATATATATCTAGGTCTTTTATTGTGAAAGGTAAGAACAGGAAGAATGTATCTTGTATGAGCTGCCTTTGTCAAGGTTGCTTGCAATAATGAAGTTTGATACAATACTGACCTTTTGGAGGGATACAAATAGAAATACATGATTCCAGGGCCTTTTTTATAAATGTAACTATTATTGTTTAAATAATGTATTTGTGTTAGTTGTGATAGCAGTGTGGCTCTCACAAAGGCTATTTTGGTCTGTTCAGCACATCGTACAGTTAATAGTTATCCACAAAAGTTGTCGAGAGATATTCGGGTCAGGAGCAGGTAGTCATGCTACTCAGAGGATGCATCCTAATGACTTTTGTCACATAAGGTTAAGATTAGGGATGACGTTGTCTGTAGGTCAACCATTTCATACATTTTCATGTTAATCCATCCAATAGTTGTGGAAATAATTCAGTAGGGAGCAGACATTCATGATTCCCAGAGGCCACCATAACGTTGGTGGATTATATTTTTTCTTTCTTTTCTTACTGACATTCATGGTGCCCAGTGAAATAACCTATGACACACATTTGGTACATACATTGCCCAGTGGATATAACTTAATTACTTTTTACCGTGCACCACCAAGGAGTGAAAATTCATATTTATCCAATACTTTTGTTTATGACAAAATACCTGGAATACCAAGCCCCAGAAGTACTTTTTACCTGCGTTTTTGCCAACTAGCAAATGTTAATTTTGTACAGACATTCATGGTTCCTAACGGCAAACATGACATTGATGATCCCCTCACTATCTTCAAGCACCACCAGGAGCGTGACTATTCAAGCTTTTAAAGGCAAACACTTTTTATTTCTTACTGACATTCAAGGTGCCCAGTGAAATAAACCTAATGACACAAATGTGTTACAGTCATTCATGGTGCCCAGTGGATGTATCCTTATTACTCTTTTTCTTGTGCCGCTGTCGTCATAATTCAAATGTATCCAATACTTTGGTTTATGACAAAATACCTGCCCCAGAAGTACTTTTCACCTGTGTTATTGCCAGTGGCGAGCCGTGAGCTTTATACCTAGGCCCTCTGACCCCCACCAATTCCCTCGAAAAAAAAAAAAAAAAAAAGAGTTATTACGTCACAGCGTATACTTCAGCGGAATATCAAAACAACGGCCCAGGGTGCAAAACGCATCAATGACAGCGACCCTCTACCACACAACACCTGTGAACCCAATTTGTGTTCTTTGACATTGAAAATGATATTGCATTGTGTTTGTTACTTTCGTTGCAGTTGTATGTCTTAAGTGTAATTTGGCATGCTTTTATTTTGAAGGCGAGTTCACGCTGTTGACAGGAAGTTGTTGTTGCTATGGAAACAAGAAAAGTTTCACAGCGGGCGGAACTTGTCATAAAGTCCGCGATAATAAAACCCACCCATTTAGAGGGAAGATATGATTGGTCAATTGTACTGTCATTTGACATTACTCTCTCGTTCAGTTACTATAGCGGGCCCTCTGTGAATCGCAGAGAGGGCCAGACGAGCTTCTTTCATGTAACCCTCCACATTCAACAGAGACTGAACAGGCAGATTCGAAGGATGTATTTCTTTGGAAATGTGATTTTAAATACAATTTAATCAATTTTTTTTTTTCTGTAAAACTAATGAAAAATATAACACAAATAATATTAAAAAAATATATATTTAAAAAAAATATATATTTTTTAAATATTATTTTTTAGAATATCTTAGGCCCTCACAGAGGGCCTAGAGGGCCCTGACGGCTCGCCACTGGTTATTGCTTATTAGCTCATTTTGTTGAGAAAGTTGTGCCCAGACAAAGCCTGATATTCCAACTTTGTGTTTAACTTCAGACAGAGGCTAACATTTGTAGTTTTTGACTTAATATCTTAGCAACTACTGGATGTTTTGTATTTACTAAACAACTTTAACAAATGATACATTCTGATAGTGAACGTGGTTAACATTATACCTGCTTGATATTAGCAATTTAGCATTGACAGTGTTAGCATGCTGATGTTAGCATTAACTCAAAGCACTTCACAGAGCTGCTAGCATAGCTGTAGACCTTTGTTTTGTTAGAAGTTGTTTTCTTGGGCAGGGATGAAGTTCCATTTCAACCAAATGCACTATTTATTGATCATTTTAGCTGTACTAAAGAATATTTACACTGAAATTTACTGAGCACTTAAATCTCTCATGTGCAGTAGCAATGCATGGAATTTGCTAAGCATATGTATTTTTTCATGCTACTTTTTTATTTGACTCTTGCTTGTTTGTTTGAACAGAGACAGTGGCTCGGTGAACGTGGAGAAGACGGTCCCTGACACCATCACTAAGTGGGCAGCTGAAGCGTTCTGCGTCTCATCTGTGGGCTTCGGCGTGGCGCCCAACGTGGCGCTTGTCGCCTTCCAGCCGTTCTTTGTCAGTCTCACCCCTGCCCTACTCGGTCATCCGAGGGGAGGTGTTTACACTTAAAGCAACAGTCTTCAACTATCTCTCCAAGTGCATTATGGTAAATATTCTAGCTGTTGCAGATGTAATTGATTTGAATGGATACACGTAGGACTGTGGATAGGGTAGTCAAATTGTCTTTTTTAAAACGTTGTTTTTACATGTTTAGTTTATTTGTTTATAGTGTCGTGGAAAGTCCCCATTAATCAACTGTCACAAAAAACAGTAAATGTGGCAGCTTTAGCCAACATTGCTAATTTCCAGCTGTTGTCCCCGGCCAGATGATAATGGACATGTATTTTATATATTTGTATTTCTGATTATGTTTGTCTTTGATTGTGTCTGCAGGTTAAACCACTCTGGCTGATTCCGACCAGTACACCTCCAGAAACTGCGACGGCTGCCAGTACATTATGTGTTTGTGCGGGGAGGAGAGCAGGACTTTCTCGTGGATTGTAACTCCAACCACCCTAGGTACTGATGGCTGACGCATTCAGTTTAGAAACATGAACATGTTATTGCAAATTATACAGTATGAGGCAGTCAGGGTTTTGTTTCACGTAGTTTCCATATATTCTTTGGTGGTCGGTGGAAAGAGCTTAATTCTGTTTACAGGACATTTAAAACGAGAGTTTGGCCTTTTTGACCATTTAAAGCTCCTGAAAAACCATGATTAGAAGTATTGCTTAGTAACATTAGATTTGTATGACTAAAAAGAGCACTACAAGTGAATATATGCTGTAAAAACATCCATATTGATTTTGAATCCACCTATTATCTTTTTAATTAAACTCCTGATAGTTCAAAAACATGTGACATCACAGTTGCTAAGTGAGCTTTTCCCTTTTCAACGAGTCACAGAAATCACAGAAAGAAATACACCCAAAAATCTCTCATCTGAAATATCCATAATTATTTTGTAATTTGTCATACATAGGGTGTTAATTAAGATTCAAATTCTGATTGAAAAAATATCAATTATAAGGTTTCTAGATATTTTTGGGGAAATTGTTTCAAAACTACAAAAACAACATCCATATTGGAGATAGTATAATAATGATAATCATGAAACACTGTGTTGTGGCTTGAAGTTGTGATGTCTAGAACACTAAAACACTAATATGGTCCAAATGTGTAAGCTTCAATGCTCTTTTTTGGGGCACCTTGGCACCAATACGTTCTGGATTTGAATGTAATATCTGTGCAAGATATCAGCTTTCAGCTTCAATCAAAAAATGTCTGACTGTTTGAGGTGTTATTCATTTTAGTCACGGTCAGTTTACCTCGTAATTACAGCAAATAATACTTCCGAGTGGCTTTTGTTGCTAATAATATAATGCAATCTTCTCATCTTTATAATTGAATACTAATTGTTTCTTCCGTTATTGCTAAACTTCCACTCTCAGTGACACAGAACAAGCTAATTAATCTGCTTTAAGGGAATTGACAGCTTTTTGCGTCAGCACTGCTGGAAGCAAAGACAGCGGCTTGTTTTATCGCTGCCTGGTCTGAAAGCTGAGGATTTCTATCAGTCTCCATCAGCAGTGATGGAGATGCGGCTCTGATGAATGTCAAATTGCGCTCCTCTTATGCTGACATCACTTGTACTAACAAGTCAGGGTAGTATCTCTGACGAAACACTCCGAAACCTTTCCCTCGGGTGGGTGGATCTTGTACTTGTCCTCCGTGTGAAGGATTGTGGGCTGTGAAGGGAGGGAGGGGGTGGGAGATGGAGCGCAATAATAAGGCAGCAAATGGGGATTAATGAGGGTGAATAACACGGGGAAACAGGGGGAGGAATGAAACCAGACAGGAGGTGTGGAGGATAATAAGTTGGATTGAAAGCAGACGGGAAACTGTTTCTGCCTCCGTACACAAAAAGTGACAGGGTGACAGGAAGCGCTAATCAATATGACTATGTGTACCCACAGGTCAGGTGAATCTGAAGGTCAGCGCTGAAGCCATGAAGACTAACATACGGTGTGGCAACGAGGTGGCAACTGTCCCCGACATGGGCAGCATCGACACGGTGGTCCGCACCCTGCTGGTGGAGGTGAGTCTCTGTCAAACACAACACACCGGAGAAACAAGGTGGCATGAGCAGAAGAGTTTGACTACTGATATGGACAATATTTTCATTAATATTTGGGAAAATGACCTATTTTAGGGATTTGAGAAGAATGAACCACCTGCAGACCATGTTTGGTAGTGTGGTTGCATCTGAAGAGCCTTCTCTAAAGAGGAATTTATATACATTTAAAATACTTAATAATATAATTTGTTTTATCATTAGACAACACAAATGTATTACCCTGTTATATTTGTTATTTGGCTTTGTTGTGTCCAGTCTTTTTGATGAATGATAGTGGCAGTTATGTATTTTCCGTGTTTATGGCACGTTGGCCATTTCTTTCTACTGAAGACGAAAATCGTAAATGTACTTTATTTAAAGGGTCCCTATTATGTTCATTTTCATATTTGTATGTTGTGTCTCTACACTGTGTTAAATGTTCAAAAAGGTATGTATTTTTCTCATACTGCCTGTGCTGCTGCACCTCTTTTCACCCTCTGTCTGAAACCAACAAAAAGACTCTTTCCAAATCAGCTTGTTGCTGTAGTTTAACATAACTCAGACAGAAAGACATGGTCAATAATGTTGGGACTATTTCCAACGGCGGATTATCCACTAGTTTGGGTCAGCTGGACGATGAATGTTATTTAGTTTTGAGAATTAGTCCAAATTAACTGTTTGTGTTGATGAAGGAACATGGTGCCCAAGGCAACAGCATTTCGAATTGATTAATTTTAATAGTTTTTGCACCCCGAGGAATAACTTGTATTAGAAGCTGGATACACACAAAGATTGCACTTGTTACAATGCCTTCCAGTTTTCCTGAGGTATATCTTCAACCCAATCTCATTTTCTTTGTCTCTGTCTCCACCAGGCTGAAGGAACACCACAGATGGTCAGTCATAACGCTCTCCTCTGTCCTGCAGGTGAGCACGCACAACCTGTGTATCAGCGTCTGTAATCTGAAGCCTCTGGGTTAACGGCCATCTTGATTATCTCTCATTCTGTTATGGAGACCAGAGTCAGGGTCAGGGGTTGAGTGTGAGGGATGATAAAATGTTATCTGCACCTCATTCATTGTTCAGAAGCCTTTTGTGTTTGTCGGATCGCAGATGAGTATGTGTGAAATAGTTGGAACAAAAGCATAACCGCTGTATACGGTTGCTAAACTAAATACACAGAATCAATACAACCCTACGTTGTTACAGTAGTGTTAAAAACATTCATCACTAAGAAGCCATGAGACGATTAGCTTAGCTTAGCTTAGAGACTCTCTAAAACTCACTAATTAACATTTTACATGTTGTTTTTAATCTTTTTTTCTTTGTTAATCCATTAAAAAAGAAATGCTAAACTATTGCTTTATGTGCGGTTAAATGCTAAGCTAATTAGCTGCTGCTTTAATTTACATTACATTACATGTAACTTGTTAGACGCTTTTATCCAAAGCGACTTACATACTCAATACTGTGGGCAATCCTCACAGGAGCAATTTGGGTGTCTTGCCCAGGGACACAATGACATGCTGACTGCAGTGGGGTTTGAACCTGTGCTCCCCTTATCCCAACACCAAGGCTCTAGCCACTGCGCTACATGCCTCTATACAGGCATTTTTGTTCAAGCTGGGAAAGTTGTTTTTTTTAACCTTTTTTTTCTGTTCTTTGTTTCCAGAGGGGCCTGTGGAGAAGAAGATTTCCCTTCTGTTGCCCGAGATGTTTGTGGCTGGATCCGCCAGGGCCTCTGTCTCTGTACTGGGTCAGTCACACAGTCTTTCTCTCTTTTTTTATAGTTATCAATACTTGCGATTGACCAGCAAATAGTTTATCCTGTATTTTGAATAGTGCTGTCAATCAATAACAACATTTTATCGTGTTTATCACAATATTAATCTTAAAAGTTTAAAATAATAGTTTCTACTTGTATTTTGGCGGGAGATAAAACAGAGATGTGGTGGCATGACATACTGGTGAAAGAAATCGGATGTTGTAACTTTAACAAGATATCTGAATTACTGACCTTGTCATGGAGAGCTCTCCTGTCTGTACTTTATATGTAGCTTGTCCAGATTCATGGTAAACATCTGTGCTGAAAATACAGGAGGAAGTTTGGGTCAAACTTGTTTTTTTAAACGCTTAACGATTAATCATGGTGTTAACGTTGACAGCTCCAACTTTTCACCCTCCAACCTGCGAAGAATGAAATGTTGTGCGGGTGTTATATTTGTCCTGTTGCTGCTGCAGGGGACCTGATGGGCCGGGCCATGAAGAACCTGGACAAGCTCCTGGCCATGCCGTCCGGCTGCGGGGAGCAGAACATGCTGCGGTTTGCGCCCAACATATTCATCCTCAACTACCTGAAAAGCACAGAACAGCTGACCAAGGACATTCAGGACAAAGCCACACGCTTCCTAGAGAGCGGTGAGTGCCATCTTTGACAGACAGTGAAAGTGGAAAATAGTTCACAAGGTGTTGCATCAGACAGTAGATCCCTATGTTACATGAATGTCACCTCATTCATCTTGAAAAAAATAAAAAGTTAGTCTCGTCTCCAAGTATTATAAATGCTGTGCAGTATTCTGACATCTGATAGGCCGTCAGACTCTTGATGTATTATTTAAAGCAGCCTGCTGGGATTGTATCATCGTCTCACCAGCATGTGAAACAACTGGGCCTCACCAGTGTAGCCCCCCAGCACTCTTATTCTTTTGTTTTTGTCTGTCTGCAAAGCTGACTTTTTCGTAAATGTGTGTGTGATTGTTGCAGGATATCAGAGGGAGCTTACCTACAAGCACGACGACGGCTCCTACAGCGCCTTCGGAAATAGCGATAAGTCTGGAAACACCTGGTCAGTAACGCTCCTCAACATCTGTAACGACATGATGATTAGGATAAAGCTAATGACTTGTAATAGCCCTAACATTTTCTATATGTATTAACAGCTGATGGCAAAACCAGTGTCATATCTTTTAGATAAGAAGATCTTTGGTGCCTTATTTTGTAATTTATTTTTTGTTGGAATATAGCACAACACAAATGTTTTAATAAGAAGAGGCATTTTTATCATTACTATTTTAAATAAATATTCTGTTCTGTGATGTGTCATTTATACATTTTAAATTATTAAAAAACCAAGACGGCTGTACAAAGAAATAACAACCAAATTGAAAGAAAATACATTTGAAAGGTGCAAAGTAAATTTGATGAAATATTTAAGAATAAGACAAAATAGTAACATTAATGCAAATAATAAATATAATTTATATAATACAAAAATAATAATACAAATGATGTGTTTTTAATTTCACCGATACAGAAAGCACATATACACAAAAGAATACTAGACCTTGCAATTTTCCACATTTCTTTTTTAAACGTGGATTTTCCCATTTTTGTCAGTGAGGTGTGTCTGGGTGTGTGTTTGTGGTGAGCAGGAAGTAGGGCTCTCAAGTGTTTAATTGAATTAGAATTCCAAACAGAGATTGGGTGGAATGGTCTAATAAACTTGAAAAAAAGGGCTTACTATAGTCAAATCAATTTTATTATAGATTTCTTTCCAAGCTACTATTATCAGCATCTTATATGAACATTTGCACATTTGGTTATGTGTCGATTTTTTCATTACTCTTGGAAATACAGCTGCGGGAATGTTTTTTGAGTATATAACAACATGGCAATAATCGCCTTTAACAGACAATTTGGTCAATGTAAAGATTAGCAGGGTTGACCAATACTGTTTAGAAAGACAAAATACTTAGTAATGTAATATATCTATTATTGTGAATATTTCTTGACGCATTACATCTGAAATACAATATTAAAATTAGGGATGTCACATTACCACATTAATGCTCCCGATGTTTTAGAGTGTCGGGAAGTTGTCGAACTTCCCGGCAACAATTCAGAAATCATGTTGTATTAAAGTGAGAAACCCTCTTACCACTTGCATTTCTTTATTATAACCGCACATGTATTTGTTTTATCTCCCCCCAAACCTTCCAAGTAAATACTAATATTTAAATTAATGTGGTTAAACACAGATGATTATTGTGATTAATCACAGATTATTATTGTGATCACCACAATTACATTTTTGAATCTATGTACAGCACTAATCAGAATATAATATGTGGATATTTTACTTCCCATCCTTATTCTGGGCTCCGAGGAATAGCAGGGTTCATTTGGGGGTAACTGAACACAGGCCCACTTGGTTGGATTTGTTTATAAAGACTTTGTGTTTGTGTCCTTCCAGGCTGACCTCTTCGTGATGAAGTCCTTTGGCGGGGCAAAACCGTACATCTTTGTGGAAGACAAGCGCATTCAAGAAGCCCGGAGCTGGCTCTCCAAACTCCAGCGGCCTGACGGCTGCATCCAATCTGTGGGGAAACTCTTCCACAACGGCATGAAGGTGACGACATCAGTCTGAAACTTGGACATTTTAGCTGGGAATATAGGGTTTCACATCATCTGCCTTTAGTCGTTTAGAGCTCTGCGTGGGTGATTTTCTTCCTGTAAGACATAAACCAGAGAATTAATTCAATGTGAGGAGAAAATTGCATGTTGTCTCTGAGAGCTGTGTGCAGGGAGGGATGATAGCCCCAGGCCTGCCTGCAAGCAGCACACTCTAATAGCAGAGTCCCAAACAAATTATTTATAGCCTATCCAACTACAACATGTCATGAAGCCAACTAACACCAAAATAAATGAAAGATGTGTGGCATATGCCGGTACCTATGTTTTTTGGAAAGTAGTTGAATTGGATAAAAAGCTCTTAAAATAGATCATTCTTAATGTCAGCTGATGACTGTGTTGAGCGATGGATTATTCTCAGTCACACACACACACACACACACACACACACACACACACACGGAGATTCCCATCTAGGAAGTTCTTCAGCATTCGCTGCTGAATACATGGCACATTCACCTTGTAACACCTTTAATACATTTTGAACATCTAACTTAATCATACACTTTAAATACTGTAACCCTTTGTCACTTTCATCACAAGAAGGGGGTACACTTTGGATGCAAATGAGATAAGGTTTGTTGTTATAAAGATCTGCAGCCCCGGTTGTAATGTTGTAGATAGAAAAGGGTTTACTACGTTAAATAAAATAGTGTTGAGTGTAAAGAATCCCATACCTGTTTAGTGCAGCTTTTGCAGGAGCCTAGAAAATAAATATTGTATTCAACATAACCGCAATAGCAACTTGTGTGTACATGCATTTTTTAGTTCTAAGTTGCCAGTATTGACAGTGACATGAATAAAAGTGTGTTTTCTGACTGTTCCTCCTGTGATGTTTCTAACAGGGAGGAGTGAGTGACGATGTGTCTCTGACGGCCTACATCACAGCTGCCATGCTGGAGCTCGACACAAACACCTTGGTGAGTCTCGGTCACAACTCGAACTCTGATGAACTTTCACTGTTGCATTCCTGATTTTAAATGTTATCATATGATGTTCGTCTGATAAGTGCTTGTACTGCAACAATGATACATTTACTGTAAATATTCTGCAACCTGGATCCTTTAGATTAATTATTAAGTCAAACACTAAAAATTGTTTTCATGCCTTGGTAAATATTAAAACGTTGGGCTATTTGCTCCCATAACTTCTCCTCTTTCAGACAATTTTGAGAGCAAAACATCCAAAATACACAGGTGTTTATTTGTGTATAACTTTGTATATTTCTTAGTGTGGATTTCTCTTTAATTCAACAAAAATGTGGCAACTTGTCATTAAAAAGGAATATCTTATTGTAAATAATTAACAGGGGGAAAAGTAAATGTTGATCTATTACTTAAAGTGTTACCCTAACACATGTAGTCTCACACAACATTTTTGGAATTTTACAAAAAATGCACTATCATCAATATTGAGTGGATGTCATTGCTTTTTATCTTTCACTATTATCTTTCAGAGATGTGCACTTGTGTTCTTTTTTACTCTTCATCTTGAAATAGGCTGTGTTTGAATATTTCCGTTCAAATGACTTCAAATTCGTATACAAAATGAATATGGTTAATTGTTCAGATCAAATCAGGTTTTATTTATAAAGCACATTTAAAAGCGATTTTTGGTCGAGCCAAAGTGCTGTGCATGTAATAAAAACACATTACTACAATCACAATAAAAGACAATAAATTACAACAGATATATAAAAAACACAGGGAAAAGTCAGGAGTCGTGCTCCGCTCTGACTAGAAGGCCAGGGAGAAGAAGTGTGACTTAAGAGTAGATTTAAAAACCCCTAGGGTCTGGGCCGACCTCACATGGAGGGGCATAGTGTTCCAGAGCCTAGGGCCAGCTGCTGCGAAGGCTCGGTGATTGTTGTGGTTGATACTCGGTGATTGTTGTGGTTGATACTCGGTGATTGTTGTGGTTGATACTCGGTGATTGTTGTGGTTGATACTCGGTGATTGTTGTGGTTGATACAGTTCTCTCCCTCCTTTATATTCTGCTGCTCATTGTTTCCTCTGTGTGGGTGCTGGGTGTGTGACAGGACCCCGTGGTGCAGAGGTGCCTGAGCTGTCTGAAGGCATCAGTGGACTCCGAGCTAGAAGAAAACCTGTACACCACCGCGCTGCTGTCCTACACCTTCACTCTGGCTGGAGACGAGGAGATGAGGATCAAACTCATCACTTACCTGAACCAGAAGTCCAACACGCAGGGTAAGACGGTGGAATCGGCAACATCTGAACCTCCGTTTTTCTCCTTAATCTAAGTTAATGCTAGACCTCTGACAACACTGTCTCATTGATAAATGTTTTACTAAAGCTGAATTTGTAGCATGACATAGTATTAAAAAAAAAACTGCGAAGTTCAAATAGTAGCCAGAATTAAATATTGAAAGAAATCAGCATAACTGTTAAAATGGAAGTGCTGAAAGGAAGTAGATGTTGTAGTGTAAGCCTTGAACACATTCATATTTCTATTTAACTACTTTAATATTCCTTTACGTCAGATTGCAAGTCATTGTTAAACGTAAGTGACATTTTAGTTAAAGTGGAAAGCCTGAACTCTGTGAAAGCAGTTTTTTCAAGCAATGAAGGCAGTTGAAAAGAAATAAACTGTTAAAAATGAAATGTTGGAATAATAGATTTCTTTTTTGTCAGGATATTGTTGTTTTAATACGGATTCTAGCCATAAGAGCCAATAAGACTGAACAGATAAGCGCAGATTAAAATGCATTTGTAGTCACAAGAAAGACATAGAATAGACAATATAGCTTCTGTTTGAAGTGCAACGAGAAATCAGAACTCACCTTGAAGAAAACATGAATGCTTTTAGTTTTTAGAACATGCAGTTCAGCCTCCATTAAGGATTATCCACCTTCATTTACAAACATTGCCAAATGACGATTAAAAGTTATTTTACAAAACCTAGCACACCGAGCTAGTGCACAGGGTCGGTCATTGCTTACCTTCTAAAGGATGAATCCACTGTTCTGATTGACAGGCGGCTCCCGTCACTGGGAGAGAGCCGGGGCTTCTGGGAAAGGCCTGGACTCTCTGGAGGTGGAGATGACCTCCTACGTCCTGCTGGCTCTGCTCTCCGGTCCGGCCCTGCCAGACTTCGGCCTGGGTTACTCCTCCAGCATCGTGCGCTGGCTGGTCCAGCAGCAGAACCCGTACGGGGGCTTCTCTTCCACACAGGTAACACACATCACACACAGGTGGCTTATGGGAAAACTCTTCTTAGTGACACCTGGCGTAGCAACGTAAAAATCAGCTGCTGTCTAGAGAGAGTTAATTGAGGCAACAATTGCATACAAAAATAGTAATTAGTATATTAATCCTGCTAAAATCTGTTAATGCTTGCAATGATGGCACCCTCCTAATGAGTGAGCACCACTCAACTATAAAACACATACGGAACGTAAAACACCCACAGACCAGGTACCCGTTATAAAACCCTAGACATATACTCCGAGGGGTTTCTCAAAATGTTGACCTGATGGCAGGTACTTTTACTTTACCTGAGTTTTCTACTCTACTATTTTTTGGAAGCAGACGTGGTACTTTTTACTCCTCTCTTTATCTGACAGCTTAAGTTACTAGTTACTTTGAATACACACTATAAGCTAATATAGGTTAAGATATTCAGCAGCAGTATACAAAATGATTACTATCAGTTACCATTTAACACCTTGGATACAAAAATATTGGGATCAAAATATACTTAAAGGAAACTATCATGCTATATTTAAATGATATATTGTAAGGCCATACCTATATAAGGTATATTTATACGTTTCTGTTTTCAAAATACCAAACAGATCATGCATTTTAGCCATGCCTCATTTCGCTCTATGTGTTTGCTGTCTACGGGTCTGATTCTGCTGACCACGCCCCCCTGCAGGAGAGGGGAGACGTGCTCTGATCAGCTGCTGGGCTGTCAGAAGAGGGGGAGAAAAAGAGATCTCCGTGTTTTATTATATAGAGTCGTTATTCATTTGTTTTAAAGCTCAATAAATAACAAAGAAGACCTTTGACCGGCACTTTTCTAATTTTGTCCGGAAGATTTAAACTTTAATCGACATCTTGAGAATTACAGTGCTTGCCTCGACGGGGAGGGATTGCATTGCATTAAAGCAGCGGGAGCAAACGCTTGCCTCGGGGAGGGAGAAAAAAAGCCACAGCGGAGAATAAACGGAAGGGTAACCATGGTAACCAAGTCTTCTTCGCTGCTTTTGTGGCAGACGACAGCGCCACTTACAGGCGTGGCATATGTACTACAGCGTCTCCAGCACTTTCGAACGGCAATGGCCGTGGCTGTCTCCTCCTGATTGGTGGAGTTGGCCCAATAGCCGTAGCGCCACTTTCCTGACGTCAGTAAAGTGTTCAAATCTGGATCAGTTTTGATCAGATCCGTTGCAGCCCCTTTTTTAGAGATTTGGGTATGGAGGAAAATAGAGAGGGTTGTGTTTTCTGACACTTGGTGAGTTCCCTGGAACACCGGGGACACATATTCATGTATAAAAGACGTACAAAAGTGCATTTTGCATGATAGGTCCCCTTTAAGTAAGATCTTGAATGCAGGACTTTTACTTGTAACAGAGTATTTTTACAATTCAGTATCACTGCTTTTACTTATAGTATAAACAACAACAACAAGTATCAATTCTGAGTACCTCTTCCATTTCTGCCTGACAACCCCAGGTCAGTTTGTTTCTCTTTCCACAGACTCCAGAAAAACAAACACTTCATCCTATAACTTCTTTTTTTTTAACATGTAATCCTGATGTAGTGTAGATCTCGATAAAAACATATTTTAAGGTTACATTTAAAACACCTTTAAACCAACATTTCTGTTCCTCCTGTAACCCCTCCCTCCCTCAGGACACGGTGGTGGCCCTCCAGGCCCTGGCTAAGTACGGCGCGGCCACCTACAGCCCGGAGGGCAACACGGCGGTGACTGTGACCTCGCTGGGAGGCCTGAACACAGAGTTCAGGGTGGATCAGAGCAACAGGCTGCTGTACCAGGAGCAGAAGCTGAGCGAGGTCCCCGGAGAATACACCATCAGGGCCCAGGGCCAGAGCTGCGTCCTGGCACAGGTATGGGGCATGGGTGTATAAAGAGAACTGGATACTGCGTCGGAGGAGGGGCCTCCTTCATTCCTGTGAGCGTGGCGCATGGAGCCCAAATGGTCTGATGCTCTCGAGAGCAAAATGTCACAAATGACCCGTCATGCCCGCCTGTCGAGAGGAAAGTGCCCGTATGTACGCTCATAGAGCATGCGCACTTGAGTTCTCCTTAAGCCCCGCACCCGATCTCCCTCTCTCTGCTCAGTAGAATGGAGAGAGAAAATCAAACTGAATTCAGGTTTTAGCGCATTTTACACATTTTAAAACCCTAAGGATTCAAATAGGGTGTTCATACTGGTTTGTTTATTTATTTATTTTTAAATGATCCGCTGATTTACAGACATCTCTTTCCCAATGTAAGTCAATGGGGAAAAGTAATATTGGGCCCAATGATGCAGAAGTTGTAGAACCACAGTTTGGCCACTACGAATATTTGCATGAGCGTCCAGCGCACTTGGGTACTGGGGTCTTGGTACGGGGGGCCTCGAAGGACGAGAAAAAGAAGAGCCTCGCAACACAAAGGGCTAAAATTGATGTAAACTAAGAAGTAAAAGCAGTATATGATATTGTAATGCTACAGATGTGTTTTTTTTTTTAAGTTACTGGAATATTTGATCAAAGCGTATTGTTCCTTTGTACTGTGTATTGACTGTGATGACCTGTCTCTCTCAGATTTCCATGCACTACAACATCCCCCCTCCCGCCGACTTCTCTGCCTTCAGCATCACCACCAACACCAAGTGCAACATCAACAGGCCCCAGCTCATCCTCTTTGTGCATGTCAGGTAGAGTGTGTGTGTGTGTTAGCTGTAATAGAGATTGGAAACCTTTTAGTTTCAGTAATACAGTGAAGGAAATAATAATTTGATCCCTTGCCGATTTTGTAAATTCACCCACTTACAAGTAAATGAACAGTCTATCATTTTAATGGTAGGTTTATTTTTACTAATGACAGACAGAATATAAAAAAAAATCCAGAAATGTATCCCCTTGCAACAAACAAGGATTCAGACCGCTTACAGAAGTCCTTTTCCTTTAAAAAAGACTCCTAATATCAACTTGTTACCTGTATAAAAGACACCTGTCCACAGAATCAATCAATCAGATTCAAACCTCTCCACCACTGTATATGTTGGTACAAATATTGTCGCAAATATTCAATCATACCAAAAAAACATCTCAATGCTCCTTGAACTGTAAAAAACAAAAACTGTGAACAGTTAGTTATCGCGTGTTGTGTGTGTGTGCAGGTACCAGGGCAGGAGAGAGGAAACCAACATGGTGATCATCAACATCAAGCTGCTGTCTGGATACATTCTGGATAAGAGCTCCCTGGAGCTGGTCAGTTCTTCCACTGAATGGCACATATTTAGATACTTTAATACACATGTAGTCTGTGCAGTACTATCAGACTGTAAGACTCTAGCAAATTCATACTACATAGTATATTTTTATATTGGTGTATACTGATGGCTGTGTGTTCTGTGCTTATTTTTAGCTGAAGAGCGACCGCTCAGTGAAGCGTGTGGATCTGGACGAAGGATACATCAACATCTACTTAGACGGGGTAGGAAGCACCAACTGTGTGCCTCAGATATGCATGAATTAAGCCTTTATTTTGTATCATTTATTTAAACCATTACGACCTGTGTGCAGAGCTTGTGATAAAGTCAATAGTAAAGTATGAGTTTGTTCTTTTGTGGTTGCAGTTGAAAAAGGATGAGACGCTGATATACAGTGTGACACTGGAGGAGGATGTTCCTGTCGGGAATCTGAAACCAGCTGTGGTCAAAGTCTACGATTACTACCAGACAAGTAAGAGCTTCATGGTTACTTAGTTTGTAATGTATGTGATGCTCAGTTTCTTTAAGTTAACTAAATGTACGGAAGCCCTGAGAGGCAAGATTTATCATTTATAATTTTTTCCCCTTGTGATCCAATTTATCATTTGGATTTATATTGTTTTTTCCAAGCACTCTAAAAACAGGGAGCATATACCTGAAAGGAAACATGTCTGATTCATATGGTTCACTTCCTGCCTCTTGAGCCCAAAATAAGAATAACAACACATCCTAAAATTGTTTTATCCTGGCCAACTTTTAATTTCACCTGGTAAGACTTCTGTCACAGATAAAATAAGAAATAGGAACTTAAAACATTTTCCTAGCAAAGGTTTTCCTAAGTCATAAAAACAGCAAAGGGAAAACAAATTAAACATTTTATTACTAACTTCTCATGGCTTCCATACAACGTATTTCCTCCCTCGTATTACTCACCCTGTTTCTGATGTTTGTGTTGATATTTGCAGGTGATGAGGCGGTCACTGAGTACAGCTCCCCCTGTGCAGAGTAAGTAACATTGTTAAGATCTGTGATGACTTCATTCTTACTGTTGTGCCTAGTGGAATTCAAAACTAGGGTTTCTGTAAGTGTCATATTGAAACGGTAAATGTGTGTAGTCCACAGGTAAATAACACAACGTTTTCTCTTCCAGGTGACGTCATCAACGAGCTGTAACTCACTTGGCAGAATCAATGCGTCGGAGAAAGAAACTTCTAGATGTTCATTTTTTTCTTAGACTGTCATTTGTTTTTACTCCTTTTTATTTTATTTTTTGTTTCTACTTGCCGATCCATTGTCCTGTAACTGTTGTTAATGAAGCAATAATCAGTCTCTCCTGGACACTGGAACCTACACATTAAAACCCGCTGAGGTGAAGAAAAGCAGACGGAGATATTGTGTAACAGTTCTGTTTTTAATAATAATAATACATTTAATTTCCAAGCGCTTTTTCAGGTGCTCAAAGACGCTTTAGTGGTGATAAAACGAGATATAATAGAATAAAAAAATATTAAAACAGCAACACATATTATAATAGAATAACAAAAATATTAAAACAGCAACACAACATAATTCACAAATTAAAAGCCAGTCTGAAGAGGTGTGTTTTGGTCGGTGTTTTGAAGTTGGGGGGGGGGGTCGATGCAGTCTCTGATGTGTTGTGGAAGGGAGTTCCAGAGGGTGGGGGCAGCGATGGAGAAGGCTCTGTACCCCCAGGTTCGGAGCTTGGTTCGTGTGGGGATAGAAAGGAGGTTCGCTTCTGCTGAACGAAGGCTGCGGGAAGGGGTTTGGTGGTGGATCAGGTCGGTGAGGTAGGGGACTTTGTGTGTTAGCAGAAGGATTTTGAAGTGTATTCGTTGACGGACAGGGAGCCAGTGCAGGTTTTGAAGGACGGGAGTGATGTGGTCTCTGGAGCGGGTGTGGGTGAGGAGGCGGGCTGCGCAGTTCTGGATATATTGCAGTTTATTTAGAATGTTGGATGATGAGCCATACAGGATGCTGTTACAGTAGTCCAGTCTTGAAGTGATGAATGCGTGGATGAGGGTTTCAGCAGCCGGGAAGGAGAGTGAGGGGCGGAGGATGGAAGAAGGCAGTCCTGGTGATGTGGTTTATGTGTTTATCGAATTTGAGCTGGCTGTCAAAAATTACTCCAAGGTTGCGAATGTGAGGAGAGGGGGTTAGTGTGGCGTTGTCAAGGGTGAGGTTGAAGTTCTGGGTGGTGTTGGTGCGGGATGTGGGTCCGATTATGATATCTGATTTGTCGCTGTTCAGTTGAAGGTAGTTTGTTTGCATCCAGGATTTAATTTCTGAGAGACAGTTGTTGGTGAGTGTGGTGTGTTATACTGTGTGTTCTGCTGTACCAGTAAATAAAAAAAGATAGATTGATACATCACTACCATACAATTTGCAATGTAACTGACCAACAATAAAACTTCTAAAATGACAAAAATAAGTACAAATTGTCTTTTTCATACAACACTGTTTCATTTCAATAGTAATATTGTTTTTTTCATTCAGGCATCCTCTTTACAGTATATTGAGTTTCCTTTCTTCTCGACATAGATTACAACAGTGATGTGTATACCAGCTACTATCAACAGACATGATTTAACAGCCTTGCCAGAGTTGAATAGTTTGGTTTGCCCGTGTTAATTGTGCAGTGTGTACGGAAGCCTAGAGACAACTTCTTTTCAGATATTTTTTTTAATCATAAAATTGTAAAACAAATTGATCATCACATTTTTTGTCTCACTTATATCTCGGGGCTTCCGTATAAGGGGAAGTAAAGGCAAGGGGACAGAATATATATTATAATATATATGTCTTTTCACTAGTCTTATTTTTCAATAGTAAACGTGTAACACCTCAGGCACCACAACCATAAATGATCGTTACTGTACCGACACATGAAACGCGAGTTCCACATGCTCTGAAAATCACAGTTTGTCGTCTGCTTCTACAAAACAAACGGCATACGGAATCTGTTTACTACAAACCGTCTATAGACTCACAACGTGATGATCGACACTTGACGACAGTCTTTTGAAGCTGAAGATATTTTTTGTATCCGCTCTCATGCATGCAAGCCTCCACTCCATGAGGATTCAAAGCAGGGGTCTTTATCACTTCCAATTCAGCGAAGTTAAATAAAAGTCGAATGAACCTGAGTTTTGTTAGTTCAAACGACTACGATCAAAAAAGGCTAATTATATATTTTAAAATAGTCAAATTAATTGATAACCACATTTCCAGGGGTTTGCATCATATCACAAGTTGACTTACTTTTGGCAAACTTTGTTATTTGTCAAATTAAAACGGTTGCAAACGATGCACAACCCATAGTGCTAACAGCGGCCGCAATCAATTATCTGTGAATCCCCCCCATCAGTTAAAATAATGCCAGCTGCCATGGATGTATAAAGAGAACTGGATAAAGCTTTGGAGGCGGGACCACTTTATCCGGGGTCTTGGACCAATAGAGCGCTTGAGTTTGCATTAAGCCCCGCCTCCAATCTGCCAGTCTTGTCTTAGTCAAATGAATGGATAGGGAAATAAAGCTGAATTCTTCTTTTAGCGCATTCTAAGACTTTTAAACCCTGATGCTTTAAATAGGGGCTATTCAGGTGTTCAAACTGGGTAGTTGATTTACCTTTATTTTTTTCCCAATGCAAGTCAATGTGAAAAAGTATTTTTTTGCCTATTGGCGCCACAGGCAGAAGATGTAGTATCACGATTAGGCCACTTGGAACATCTGCTTTAACGTCCAGCTCTCATCCCGGGGGCTTGGCTGATTCCCAGTCCACTGTGCTCAGTGCCTCTGGTATATCTGCCTGTAAGGATGCTAGAGGCATGCTAACTGGTAACTGTCCACATACGGCCTTTACAGCATTTATGCGATTGTAGATGTCAACGTTCTTGGCCCTCATCTTGACCTCCCGCTCCACCAGCTGCTGCCGGTGGAAGATCTCGTCCTGCAGCCTCTTCTCCGCGTCCTCCCTCCTCCTCCTCCAGCATCTGACGGCGAGCCAGGCTCTCTCGCTCATGCAGGTCAGAGGGCTTCATTTCAGATTTACTTTAGACCCATGGAGGGCTTTGCACAGCATGCAGCTTAGAGCCAGAATTTAGCAGACCTTCATGTACATTTCTCTGTGAGAGCTGCTCTCGGCTATTTGGTAAAGTTAGAATGAAAGCGTAGACAGGAACACACACTTTACATCATATCTACATGCAGAGACCTGAAGGCAACCAGGAGGGGAGAAATACAAACAAAAGTGTGCATCGTTGTATATAATACAGTCCTGAATTTTACTTTAAGAAATATGTTTTTATTTATCTGAAGTGACGTCAGAGACTGATGACGGCAGCAGCAGCGATGGATCTGCTGCTCTCAGCGAGCTCACACACACACACACACACACACACACACACCATGCGCCTTGGTACATACACTATTCCGTTGTATTGGCTTTGATGCAATATTTCTTTGTGCACAGACGGAAAACTATGACAGTGTCATTTATGAGAAGCACCTTAGACAGACCATGGAGAAATGCTGTGACCCTGCTGAAGGGGATATTTGTGTTCTACTCCTGTTTTCACTTTAGAGCCCTTTTAGAACTTATAGGGTTATCATTTCAGCGCCCCACTCTCCATTGCTGTTTATGTTGAAAATAAAACTAAACTTTTCATAACCACAATATTTTAACTGATTTAAATGCGGAAACTGGGGTTATTCATCAGAATTTCGTATGACTTGACTTGGGACTTGCTTGACCAATGACTTGACTTGACTTGCTTGACTCTCACCACAGTGACTTGGGACATGTAGGTTAAGACTTGAGACTTACTCATGACTTGCACATGCATGACTTACTCCCACCTCTGCTATTCAACCACTACTTGTTGAGGGACTATGAAATTAAGTTGAACCATGCTTGGTGTTGTAAACAAATAAGGCTAACGCTGTCATGCTGGTTAGTTATGTATAAGTATTTTGGGTGATGAAGCGTCATCTCTTCCAATAAAATGATTTAAAGTTGTTACTTTGCAACCGTTAGTGAACAGTTCATGTATCCAGATGATCAGAAGAGGTTTTGAAGACTCATTTAGTACAGCTTTAAGTATTGAACTAAGAAAGTTGGGTGATTATTTTCCAGATATGTGACACTCTGTGACTCAAAGGCAATAATAATGAGAGGGAAATAATGGGGCTATTAAGACATCTGATTCCATCTTGGTTGACTATAAATGTAACATTTTATATGCTGAGTGACTCAAATAAGTCTTTGAAAGAGTGTCCAGCAATTAGTGCTGCACCGCTCCCATTACATTACATGTTACTTGTTAGACGCTTTTATCCAAAGCAACTTACAATACTGTGGGCAATCTCCACAGGAGCAATTTGGGGTGAAGTGTCTTGCCCAGGGACACAACGACATGCTGACTGCAGTGGGGTTTGAACCTGTGCTCCCCTGATCCGAACACCAACGCACGAGTCCACTACGCCACAGCCTCCCTATGCTATTACCTCAGCAAGAGACAGAAAAAGAGGCTTTAGTGTTCAGAGGCCTTCATCAAATGGTAGCATTTATCAGTCAGAGTGAATTTGAAAATTCTTTGACCTTCAACGACCGATAGAAAAAGCTAAAACTTGAAAAGGACTGACATTATGTGGCATTAACTGAATGGCTTGCTGTTTGACTGCTGTTGATTTATGCCAGTCCACTTTCCATCCTGACAATGAGTGGTAAACGCATGCAGTCTAAAGGAGAGTGCTGCAAATGACTCCTACTCTGACTCATTTACTGTACTGTTCAGTACCAATTGACAAGAGAAAGGAATTTTCTTTGCATGAACAAATTACTTTTTTGTAAAAAGAAAAAAAGTCTCAATAGTTTGATGAGTCCAGATTCTTTTCATAAAGTATCAGTTTAAAAAGCAAAATAACACATTATTTTACCTAGCTTCCCAATCTGAGTTGTATGTTGTTTTTTTTTCTTGAGAACATCAATG